TAAAGAGCAAAATAAAAGATAATAGGAAGTAGCAAAACATTTTTCTCAAATGGGAAGGGGGTCAAGAGATGGATGGGGAGGGAGAGGGAAAGGGAATAAAAAAAGGGAATTAAGATGTTATGTGCATGCACCAACTCCACACAAGGAATGTGAACATTATGTACTGCAAATATGGACTGACACAAAATGCTGTAGCAGTTAGAAAAGAGCAAAAGACAAAGAATGAAAAAGAAAGATAGGTGGGTGAAACAAGTGTGGCAAAATGTTGCTAACTTTGGGAGCTCATTATACTATTATTTCTATCATAGGTGCTAAAATTTTCATATGAAAAAGTAAAATGAACAAATCTGTCATGGCTTTCAACACTGACAGGTTAAGGTTCTGTCTTGGTTCACTTCCCATTGCTCTAACACACTCCCTCAGGTTGGGTGCGGAACAAAGAAAAGGTTTATTTTAGCTTATAGTTTTGGAGGTTCAAGAGCACAACACTAGCATTCACTTGGTGTGATCTTGACTGGCCTGAGAGACTCTAGCGGGGTTAGTAAGGCACACTTTCGGATGTTTGGGTGGGTCACAGTGGTGTGACCTTAGGGACTGTAATGGGTCCCTGGCTCCTTCCTCTCTGGCTCTTCCTTGCTCTCTACTTCCTGGATGCCAAGAGAGAACTGTTCTCTGCCACACCCTTCTGCCATGATGTTTCTTGGAGCCAGCTGACAATGGACTGAAAATTTTAAGACCATGAATCAAAATTAGTCTCTCCATTAAGTTATGCGTGTCAGGTATTTTTTCCTAGAGAGGAAAAGCTGATACACTTGGGTGTAATGAGGGCCTTCTGGTGGATATGTTGCAAAGGCAGGAGCATGCACAGAAGAGACAGGCTTGTTCTGGGATTGAACTCAGATCCTTGCACTTGTGAGGCAGGATTTAGCCACTAAGCTAAATCCCTGGCCAGGTTTGTTCTTTTTTAAAAATGTTTTTGTGGCACTGAGGATAGAACCCAAGGACACTCTACCACTGAGCTACATCTCAGAACTTCTTATTTTGAGACAGGGTCTCACTAAATTGCCTAGGCTGGCCTTGAACTTGGACTCTTCCTGTCTCAGCCTACAAAGTAGCCAGCATTACAGGTTTGCACCACCATGTTTCCTGGGGCATGCTTTTTTTTTTTAGTACTGGGGATTGAACTCAGGTCCTTGTGCTTGTGAGGCATGTGGAAGAACCACTGAGCTAAATCCCCAGCCCCATGCTCTTTTTTTTTTTAAACAATCTGCTCTGACAAGACTAACAGTCTGGCTCTTCCAAGGAAAGTGAGTGGCTCTATGACCTAATTACCTTCCAGCAGGCCCCACTTCTTAAGGTCCCCTATGTGAATCCACCATAATGGGGACCAAGATTCCTGTACATGAACCTTTGCAGGACAGGGACACACTCAACTATGTATAAACCATAGATGATTGGTTGGTTGAAGTGCCCTCCCTTCCCTCACTCCCTTTTTCCTTCTTTCTTTTCTTTTCTTTTTTTGGTACTGGGGTCCAAATCTCTCTCTCTCTTTCTTTCCCTTCCTTCCTTCTTTTTTCCCTTAACTCCTTCCCTCCCTTCCTTATTTGCAGGGCTGGTGATTAAACCCAGGGCTTCATGTATGCTATGCATATGACCTTCTACTGACTTATACTCCAGCCCCATAGCAGCTTTTAATATGTCACTCAAGGTAGTAAGATCAAGCCATATTTCTTACACCTGCAATTCTCTGTGCATACCCTGCTATTTCTTTTCTTTTTTTTTGAGACAAGGTCTTACTCTATAATTCAGTTAGGCCTTGAATTAACTATGTAGCACAGGCTGGTCTTGAACTAGTGATGATCTTCCTTCCTCAGTCTCCAGAGTGCTGGGATTTCAGGTTCTTAATTTTGATACCTGGAAAGTGACAGGATTCCTTGGTTCTCTGGTCAACAGAGAAAGAGGTACATGGTGGGGGAAGCCAAGTAACAACTCCAGGAATAGTTGCTCTTAAGAACAGTACAGAGTCCCACAGGCATCCCTTGAGATTGGTGCCACCATCAAGACTTCAAAGATGCAGAGCACTGATTCTTCACACATCCTGCCAGGCCTGTGCTGAAGGTTTTGGGGCACAGTCCACGAGCCCAAACCTAGTCAGGTGCTAACTAACAGCAGCGGCTGCTTCAGATGCCATTTCTTACCAGAGCAAACAAATAGTTCTAGACAACTGGTGCATAGCTACTGATCTGGAAAGTGTTTTTATTCTTTTCCCAAAAGCAGAGACACAGGCAGTTGAAAAGGATCTTGTCATGTCTGTCACCCATCAAGACAACGCACGGCCCATACTTGACTGACATGCAGACAGAACCTGGTAAGCAGGAAAGGAAGCAGTCTGCACTCTAGGACGCACTAATCACAGAGAAGGAGAATACAGGTATGTGGAATCTCTATGAAGTCTCTGGGGTCTGGAGGTCAGAGATGTGTGTCAAGACATCCTTCCCACAGGTAAGCGTGGGATGTGTGTCTGGCATCTACTCCCACTAAAGACGAAGCACATCTGAATATGAAAGACACTGAATTGTGGAATCAACGCACATCACATTGGAATTTACTGCCCTGACCTACTACTCACTGTTGACTTAAGAGGGTGGCCAGGCTGAGAGGGGCCATAGTACCAAGTGTCTAGGGGTGGCCTAGATGCTGAGTGGACCAGTACTGAAGCAGAACAGAGGTCCTACTCAAAAGCAACAATGAGCTGGATGTGATGGCACACGCCTATAAATCCCAGTACTCTTAAGAGGCGGAGGAAGGAGGATCTCAAGTTTAAATTCAGCCTGGGCAACTTAGTAAAACCCTGTCTCAAAGTAGAAAAGGGTTGAGAATGTAGCTCTGCTAAGGCCCAGGGTTCAACCCCCAGTAATGTAAGAAAAGAAAAATCAACTAGGTTCCCTCTTGGGAAGCATCTGTGGTAGCCTGCCGAGTCCTGGAGCTGTTGCCAGCTATAGGAAGTCAAGTCCTTCTCATGCTCTCAGACTCATCACTGTACTTTTTTTTCAGCTTTAACTGAGTTTATTGGTACATTTTAGGGATACAGTACAGTTACATTCATTGTTGGGATCTTGTACCTCTACATGACAAGTCTTGATTCTCATTTTCTCCCCTTACCCCTGCCCTCCCTTCACCCCCTTCTCCCCTCCCCATCATCACTGTAGTTCTATCTGACACAGCTGGGAAGGGCTCTCATATGACCAAACTGGGTCCTCTGGATTATCTCCCCATCTCAGCACCCATAACCTTAAATACATTTGCAAAGTCCCTTCTGTCAGGGAAGGAATATATCACTGGGGGGTCATTATTTTATTATTATTATTATTATTATTATTACTGTTTTGTTTGTTTGTTTGTTTGGTTTTGAGACAGGGTCTCACTATGTAGTTGAGACTGATCTGGAACTCACTATGCAGCCCAGGCTGGTCTCGAACTCACACCAATACTCCTGCCTCAGCCTCCCGAGTGCTGGGATTACAGGCATGCGCCACCATGCCTGGCTTATTATTTTTTTGAGATGGGGTCTTGCTATGTGGTTCAGGATGGCCTTGAACTCACTATAGCCCAGACTGGCCTTGAACTGGTGGGGATCCTTCTGCCTTAGCCTCCTTAGTTCTGGGATTGCGGACATGTGCCACCACGCCCAACTGGGGGTTATTATTTTGCCCACCAAAGTTGTGGGCAAGCTTCTGGCAAACAGCCACAAGTCATGTGCTGGGTTTCAGGTTCCTGCTATGCCACACACTACCTGTATGACCATGGGAAAATTACCTGGGCTCTGCCTGCCTCAGCTGTCTCCTGTACAAAATGAGTACCTAATAGTACCCACCTGTGGTAGCTGCCCAAAACATTTGCCACTTTTTTTTTGGTACCAGATATCAAACTTGGGTCTTTGCACTTGCAAGGCAGGCGGTGGAACCATTGAGTTAAATCCCTGGCCCCATTTGCCACTTCTTTATCTGAGTAACAATCCCTTCTCTGCCTTTGTAATGAGCTGGACTAAGTCCCACACAGACTATATATGGTCCCTGCTTCAGAGCAGGCGGTACCCATATGACTCAGTCTAGACCAGTGGAGTATGAAGAGAACCAAAATACATAATTTCTGCACATCACTTACAACTTCAAGAAAAGCTGCCCACCTGGAAAGTTGTCTACCTTTTTCTTTTTTCTTGAGACAGGGTCTCAATATATAGTTCAGGCTGGCCTTGAACTCAACATGTAGCCCAAGCTGGCCTCAATCTCTTGGTCATCCCCCTGCCTCAACCTCTCAAGTACTGGACTACAGGTGTGTGCCACTGCACTGGGCTCTTTCTCCTTTCTCATGCTGGAGTATGAATGCGGCCACAACCCAGGCACAATGATGAGAATGAGAACACCACTCTTCAGGAAAGTGGAGGCAGCAAGTGAAATAAAGGCACTTGGGTCTCAGAGTGACCCCACGGGACACATCACTGCTTAGCCTGGCAGGGCCAGATGGGCACACGAGAGAGAGCGGACTGCTGTGGACAGGACCTTAAGTCACTATATTCTAATCAGTTAACACCCAAAAAGCCTCAGCCATGTATGGAGCCCTGAACAAGTCATGGTCACTATTACTGCGGATGCACTGCAAATCCACTCCATGTCTCAGGCTCCCCGAGTGGCAGAAAAGAGACATGAACAACACTGGTGCAGCCTGTCTAAGGAGGATGTGTTCTGCTTGCTTCTTTAGCTAATAAGGCAGGGGTATGTACTTATCGGATGCCTCTGTGTCAGGCACTGCACATGCACCGCCTGACTTTGGAACCAGCTCCAAGAGGCTGTGGAGGTGAGTGGACAAATTGGCTGTTTGTTCTCTTCTTTGAGATCATTCTGGCCTGGGGTGACCTAAGCTTGCTCTGCCCCTTCTGCCAAGAGCAGGGTACTAGGGATCCAAGAGCCAGGTTGGCGCGGCCCCTGCAATGCATTACTCACATAGAAGTTCGGTACTTGATGTCGTCCTTCTCAGCCAGCTCTTCACAGGTGAGGCCGTTATGTTCTTTCCAGAGTCCCTGACACTTCCTACAGGTCTCCTGGGAATAGACACAAAGACAGCTCCTGGTGAGTGGACACTGCATAACCTCCTATTCAACTAAAGGCTTAGAATCTCTCAGAGGACCATGTTCCATTTCAGCAGGGCTGGTCCTTTAAAAAATTTTTTTTGGTACTGGGGATCAAAATCAGGACCTTGGGCTTGTGAGGCAGGTGCCGGCACCACTGAGCTAAATCCCTGGACAAAAAAATTTTTTTGAGACAGGGTCTTGCCATATCCATCTCCTGAGTGCTGGTATTACACGCGTGCACCACCATGCCTCGTGCTGGCAGGGCTGTTTCTATAGACATAATACTTAAAATAATAATATTTACGAAGCATCAAGTTGGGTGTGGTGGTGCATGCCTGTAATCACAGCACTTGGCAGGCTGAGGCAGGAGGACAGACACAAGTTCAAGACCAGCCTGAAACTACATAGTGAGACTTGTCTCAAAAAACCAAACACCTAGGGTCTGGTGATGTAGCTTGGTGGTGCCATGCTTGCCTGGCCAGCACAAGGCCCTGAGTTTGATTCTCAGTACTGAAAAGCAAAAAGCTCAAATAAAAAAAGGCATGAGGGCATTTCTTTCTCCTCAGATCATAAGTGCTGTTCCAGTAGCCAGTCTGTACAAGGCTTTCTGAAATGCCACAGCCACCTGAAAATACCACTGGAGACAGATCTTAGGTCTTTAGACATGAAATGCTGTATGCTGCTAGAGGGCAGGGTCTGTCTGCATCTTAATCTCCACAATATCTATCTCCATTCCTCTGGCATGGAATTGAGGAATATCTAGGTTAGACTCACCACTGGCCCTAAGGGAGACATTCCCTCTGCCACTCATTACTCATAAACATAAACATGGACATCAGGGCCTGGGAATTTAACTCAGTGGCACAGCGCCTGCCTTGCAAGTGCAAGGTCCTGAGTTTGATCCCGGGTACCAAAAAAACAAAACAAAACAAAACAAAACAAAAAAACAAACATCATTCATCATAGCTCAGCTTCACTTACAAATACAAATTTAAAAAGTGCATTAGCCTTTAATACAAGGTTACTCATAGTTTATAAAATACCTTTATAGATGCCAGGAACTACCCCTGACCAATGATGAGAATTTAAAGAAATAAATGGAAATGCTAACCCCAAGTACACTGCAGGAAAAGATGGCATGGTTAGCTCTAAATGGGGAGCTGATCCAGTCTGGAGCCAGAGCAGGCTTGATGAAGTCAAGTCTGAGATAGGAAAGATGAGTTGGCAATGGCCAACAGCTTGGGCGAAGAGCACAGCATTCCAGAAGAAGGGCAGCAGCAGGAGACACTGGCAGACACATGCGAGCAAGGTTCCTGCAGCTGACCAGCACACAGTTCAAACAGGACCAGAGAGGCCTGCAAGGGCAGTCCACAGGGGTCCTTGTGGGCGTGATTACCATTTTGATCTTTGTACTGGGAAACCACTAAAAGGTACCCAGCATGAAGGTGGTATAATCAGGTTTGTGATTTTTGAAAGATCATTCTGGGTGGAAGTCAGGCTAGAGGAAGGAAAAAGCAGAAAAGCAAGAGACAGGAGCTATTATGGTCATCTGAGAGAGACGGAGGAAGCCAGGCGAGACAGCGAGATGAGGATGTGAAGGTGACTGACCTGGGAGACATTGAGGAAGCAAAACTGCAGGCTTGAATGTGAGTTCAGGTGTCAAGGGACAGCACTTTGCTTCTGGTTTGTGCAACTCATTGAGGGAGGTTGGGGGAGGGAGAAGGTATGTGATCTCATCTGATCTGTGGGTGATGACAGAGGACCAGTGGGTCACCACGTGAAGGTGAGAGGCAGGGGTTGGTGCAAACGCTTAGCACTCAGGAGAGGGCACACTAGACGCTACTACATATGTCTTAGACTAGGCTTCCTGTCTAGCAGTTCTCTCTGAACTCCCCAGCAGTTCTACAGCAAGTGGCAGAGGTGACCTAATGAGGCATAGGACAGTATGCAGGTATAGATGAGGTGAGGTCAGAGAGGCAGTGGCGGTGTGAGGGACAGGGTGCTGTAATACACCATCTACCTGCAAGGACACCCATGGAACTGGCAATACTAATGGCCCTGAGTGGCTGAAAGGCAGCCAGGACTTTTCACTTGTAGGCCTTTTGTACCGTTTGAACTTCATATAATGTATATGAGGTGTGGTGGTAGAAAAATAAGTGAATGTTTAAATTATAAAAATTTTATTACAGTAACACACCACCATTATCTCCCTCAAAACACTCCCCCCTCCACTTTGAATATACTTATTCCATCATTCTTGCAACTTCCTGAAGCAGTTCTAGAAGTCCTCTTTTGTGAATGCCTTTAGCTGTGCTGTGGCTGCCTCGATGTCCTGGATCCATTTACAACTTTTCCCTTTCACGGTCGTTTTGACTTTGAGGAAGAGATAGAAGGCACACACTGCAGATTTGGTGACTAAGGTGGATAAGGACATACTGTCATGTCTTTCAGGTGGATGGCCCTTGGCAGTAGCATTCACCAGATATTTGTTCACACCTTGTTAAAGATACTCACAAAAAGAAGGTTTTTCAGAACTGCTTCAGAAAGTGACAAGAATGAGCTGGGCATGGTGGTGCATGCCTATAATCCCAGCACTTGGAACCCTGAGGTGGGATTGCTGCAAGTTTGAGGCTAACCTGGACTATATAGTTCCAGGGGTGAGCCTGAACTACACAAGCAAGACCCTGGCTCAAAAAACACCCCAAAAGAGCTGGGCATTGTGGTGTATGACCGTAATCCCAACACTGGGAGGCAGAGGCAGGAGGACTGCCTTGAGTCAAGGCCAGTCTGGGCTAGACAGTGAGTTAAGGCCCAGCCTGAACTACAAAAAAGGCCCTGTTTCAACTCCCTTCCCCAAACCTTTCCTTCCCAAACAACATAAAAAAAAAGTGGCAAGAATGATAGGATAAATGTGCTTGAAGCCAGGATAAGTATTTTGAGTGTGGTTAATGGCAATGTGTCTTTTACTGTAATAATTTTTAAAAATTCATACTTTTACCATATATTTTGATCATACCTGGTATGTGCCATCTAATAAAATATATAATTTTAAACAAGAGAAGAAGGGGGCCAGGGATGTAACTCAGCTATGCCTGACTGGCAAGCGCAAGGTCCTGAGTTCAATCCCTGGTACTGGAAAAAAAAAAAAAAAAAAAAAAAGAGAGAGAGAGAACAAAATGGGCTGCTTGGAAGGCTGAGAACCTGTATGTCCTTTGGTGGGTGTTGTACAAAGGCTTCATTCTGGGTGGGGAGGAATGGAGAGGAACTCACGGGAAAGGCTCCACTTTAATGCCGCTGCCTCCAAGGGACACAGATATCCTTTGGCCTACTACTTGCATCTTGTTCATGTTCAATAAAGAGACTAAGTCAGTAATGTACTTAATTATTACCCTCCAGAACGTATTTAGCACAAAACTGTTCTTAAAAGACCTTGTGTCTGACTATTCCACTATTTCTGTCTGACTATTTCTGGGGATAAACAACAGCTGGAGAATAGATGAGCTAGTATTTGGAGCCTAACCTTTTAAACAATACCAGCCCTGCCACCCACCAGGGAAATAGCTCAAAAACAATACACGCACAGGCCATGCTTTTTAGCATTCCTGGTGGCTGAGTTATTAATGCACAGGCTCTTTCTCAGCAGAGAAGTCCCACTTTCTGGGTGAGGCACCAGCCCACCAGGGCAATAGATCTGGCTGAGCTGGAGTCCCCAAGGCCTGTGGGTCGCAAGGATGCCTTTGGCTAGCACAGTGGTTCACCTGTGGTCAGCACATGGGTTTTCAATCCAGTGCTCCTCTCACAGAAAGGCTAAGGGACTCCAGTGAACAGACCTGTACTGTCTCTGGAAGGAACTGTACCTAGATACTGAAATCTATGATTACAGTAAGGCAAGTGAACAGCAGGCCTGTGCTGATACCAAAGTTAACAACTGTTCAGACCTTTCTGTGATGTTTCTTTAAAATGTCCTACCCTTCTGAACACTGTGAATTTTACTAAATTCTAATTATCTCAAGTACTCCTATGCTTTGTTCCTAAACACAATACTATTAGGCAGAAAAAATGCTTGGAATGGGGTTTCTGTAACATAAAGATAACCACGATCTTCAAACTGGTGACTGAGAAAATCCCAAAACACCACTGAGAAGGGCAGAGAGCCTCCCAAGGTGAAGGGCAGCGCATCCTACACCTGTAGCAGCTGGGCTGCGACCTTGGGGAGACTTCTGGTTAAGGTGATGATGGAGGCCTCTAGGCCTCAAAATGCACCTGGGCACTGGACTGCTCATTAGGTCTTTACTTGGCAATGTTAAAAAAATAATGCTGTCTGCCTTCACCACTGTTTTCTGTCTAAATCATGTGTAGTGGGCAAAGCAGAAGGTAAGATTCATTTTCAGATGACCACTGGGAAGCTGGGATTTCTTCACATAAACGATACCTCCTTAGTCATCAGTAGTCAGAGGTTGTCAATCCTCACCTCCTCCAGGCCCAGCAAATTATGAGGGTCTCAAGGCTGACTTTCGAGGCTGCAGGCTTCCTCTGCTCATACCCTGCCCATCCATCCCTTTCTTGCTTAGATTTTGCCCCTTTGACCTCCAGCCTACCTCAGAGGCAGAAAAGAGCAGAAAATGTCCCTTATCTTTGGCTGGCTCCTCCAGCAAAACCTTCAAACTCACCCTCTGGGGGACAAAAGTTGCTGGCCCAGCTATGAGGCACAAGGCTCTGGTGACCAAATCTAACCTCGGAAATTCCAGTTTTCTGCTTTGTCACCTCAGATACTTAAAAAATGGTAAGTCTGTCAGGTGAAAGATGAAGCACTTGACTGTTTACAATGCTCAGAAAACTCCTGGGACCTGAATTTTCAGGTCACCTGCATCCTCCAGCCATCAAAGCTTTGGCCTTCCCTGCCCCAGGCCCTAATGACATATGGACACCAGCCAGACATCCTTACAGGCACTGATACTGAGACAGATGCT